ACTAGGATTGTCAGTTTTCCTGCTACTGGTGCTCTCTGGGCACTTCGGCTTCCTCATTAATTAAAACTGACAGCCACGATATAGCAAATAGTGCTGATAGTGGTGTTAAACAACAATCAATACATTTTCATGAGCGATTTAGCTCCAGAATTTTTTTTCAAATTAGTCAAAGAAAGATAAACACAGAATGTTACAAAATTGTGTATATAAATCATGCTCTATTAATAGATGTGGGGTACAAGTAACCAAGACAAAGAACAAAAAACTCAAAAAAACAAAAGGACATTAAAGGTAAAAAAAACAATCTTCAACAATGGACTGGTATCACGCTCTACATAATCCAGTCTAAATAAATACAAATAGGATCAACAATCAACACCTGCTGCAGATTCTCCATATAACAAAAAAATGAAGATATACTGAAAATTCAGACATTATTGCATATATTTATCATAGCGATCTTTTAAAAGTTGACAAAAATGTGAGATTAATTATTGCAATTTCAGGAAAATCTGCATACAAATCTATGTATCAGATATCTGATTGCAAGTTCTTAATATTGAGATCAGCACCAAGTTGCATTATTCACATTAATAAAAAACCTCACAATATTTTTATGTCCCCGCCATGGCGGCGGGGGCATTAAGTTTTAGCCTTGTCCATATGTAGGTCTGTCCATACGACCCAAAGTTGGATTCCGTTCTCTAACTTTAGTTTCCCATAACCAAATGTTATGAAACTTATACAGAATGCTTATTACCACAAAACACAGATCAAATTTTGGTGGCTTCACTTTAACCGTTCTTGAGTTCTGCCCCTTTACAAATGGAAAAATTGCTGAATTTTCTGTTTCTGTTCTCTTACTTAAGTTGGCCTCAACCAAATATTATGAAACTTATACACAATGCTTATTACCACAAAATACAGATCAAGTTTGAATTTTGGGGGCGTCACTTTAACCGTTCTAGAGTTATGACCCTTTACAAATGGAAAAATTGATGAATTTTTCGTTTCTGTTCTTTTACATAAGTTTGCCTCAACCAAATGTCGGGAAACTTATACATAATGCTTATAACCACAAAACACAAATCAATATGTAATTTGAGTAGGGTCACTTTTACCGTTCTTCAGTTATGTCCCTTTATAACTTTATATGATATGCAAGCAGGGGCATCATCTGTGTCCACATTCCCCATTTATTTTCAAAAATAACCCTCCTGGTAGTATTAATGCTGTCAGTATGGATTTTTAAAAAATTTACAGTAACATGAGCCAACCAGTGGCAAGGTTCCTGACTAGGGACAGGCCTCTTCATTGGCCATCTATACTGTAAATTCAGAAATTATTGGGATTTTTTTGTTAAAGTGAAAAATGCAACAGTATCAGGTTTGTTATAATAAAACTTTCATTAGTGATTTTCCTTCATAAAATATTTGCAGTCGTATTAATTAGATTCTTCATTTTAGCGACAGATAAGAATAATAAATGATTGCATTAATTTCTGAATTGACAGTGTAAAGTGGATGAATTTAGTTTTTTAAAACCTCAACTAAAACCCTTTGTTAACTCTTTTAAGGCAGATGAAATATGAAAAGTTGCTTTTTCATTGATTAGCAAGGTCCAACAAATTCAGATATTTACTTTTATTTGATATAACTTTATTATGCAATTTTTAGCAACTACATCAATATACATAAATGTATTCATACAAAATAAATAATTATAAACAAAAACAAAATACTTTTATTTTGATAAACAATAAAAACTTTGTGTAGTAGTAACCCTGGGATCAATAGGTCAATTAAAGCTTTTACAAACTGAATATGCTTAAACAGACTATCTACAAACATTATAAATTCTCTATTCTGTACATATTTATTCCCTTATAAAATACTATAAGATGTTAAGATTGTTTCTTCTTTTGAGACAAAGGAATACAGAATAGAGAACATATATAATACTGACAGATAATAAGTCTGATAAAAAGAACTTGATATACAATGATTTCATTAGCTCTTGGTACATAGAATTGTAATTGAAACACCTAGATATAAGTTTTATTAATGGAAATTTTACTCTATACTGTAATTGATTTAACAATCTTAGTATATATTCTAAAAGTCACAGAAATTTTATAGTTTATGTTATTGAATACCCATACCAATTTGGTACATTATCTTCCATTATGATTGTCCGTATGCTTTTGTGTATCCAGATTGATCAGTCTTTGTATATTCAGATCTAGCCTCAGACCACAATTATTCTTCCCATTGGTTACAATGCATTTCTTTGTAAAAGTTAAATTGAATTAAAAAAATTGCACCGCTTCAAACATGAAATAAATTTAGCTGCTCACAGACTATTATTATTCTAATAAGATATGATTGTCCCAGGACAATCCATCATTGCTTTTACTTTTGAGAGCCATATCAGCATGCCAATGGTAGAATTTGAATCTTGAATAAATAATGACGGCTAATTTCTACCCCACTTTCATTTTGGCCAAATCACTACTTTCACTTTTCAACAGTAAATTTTTCCAACATGTTATACTTATTTCAGTATATATGCAACTGTAAACTTTTCAAAGAAAACTGTAGTCAGAATAGTCTGGAAGAAATATCGCATATAATACTTGGGAACAATTTTTTAATTGTGATCTGAAGCCATCTGGATTATTTCTTCTTGTCAAATATTGAAGCTGGTCTGCCTCCTGTGAAATTAAAATTAAATTAAAATGTAAAGGTCAAACAAAGACCACAATGACTTGACTTTGAAGATTTTCTAAAAAGTGTCAATTTCCAATCCATGACAAAATACATATATATTCTTTCTCGCTGTATTGAAGACCCATTGGTGGCCTTCGGCTGTTTTCTGCTCTTGGGTCTGGTTGTTGTCTCTTTGACACATTCCCCATTTCCATTCTCAATTTTATTTTACTACCAGAATATCAGCCTTGGCCTAAATTCTAAATTTGAACACAAGATGGTTAATTGATGGGAAAATGTTTTATATGATTTTTTATGGTTTTTTTTTTAACTGCAAGTAACAAATTTAGTCATCTTTCTAGGAAAATCTTTGTTTCTATAAAAAGCCTGGTAAGTTAACTAACCTGCTGCTGCTGCTGCATGTGGCAGTTGGGGAGGGACGGCTGTCTGTGGACCAACTTCTCCTGGTCTATAAATAATCAAAAATAGTAATAATAGGATCAATGATCTGAGGGTCTATAATAAGTCTTAAATTCTGTATGCATCATTACTTGTTATGCAAATTTCTCCATTTTTTATATTTTGCCAATATTCTACTTCGTGGATTTTTATCCAGTTTTCTCTCTTCTTTTTTTATTGCTAATTTTTGTCCATTATTCTCTTTTGTCTGAGACTACTATAAACACGTATGTTATTCTGTTAACCCCGATCTAGACAGTTGTGAAAATCCAGTTGTAAAATTTAACATCACTGTTAAAGATATGTGTTTATGTTAAGTATTGTTCCTTCTTTTTACTTGAATTTTCGGTTAACCAGAAATTCAAAGGCAAATCGAGTATTATTCAATAGGATGGCAATTAAGTATGAACATTGAAAACCGGTGAAAAATGTTTCCTTCTCTTAATCCGATCCTGCGGAGATGAACACTCCGTATTTACTTCAATGTATAACAGTCGGTCTAAAATCGTCTAACTTAAGGTAATTTTTCTTAAAGTTGTTGTCATAACTTAATGCTATATTCTTTAATGTTATTTAAAAACTACCGCGTCGATCACATGTATTAATTATCATTTTCAAAGTCATTGCCACGTGATACAGGGGAGATAACAAGTGGTACTATCCTATGACCACTAGTACAAACACGAAGGCGTTTCAACTTTGGCTGAAGATTCGTTATACAAGAACAAACATCCACATTATTTATTTGCAGTTTAAAAAGCATCTACTTTCTTTTAAACGAGTCTGTCGAGACGTTCAAGTATTAATTAACAAGTGAAGTCTTAACTTAACCGTGCTATTCAACTTCCATGTTCCTATTATAATTTTCTCAAATTGAGTAAAGAAGTAAATATATTATAACAGACATTGTTAGAAATTTCAACTTTTACCACCATATCGTGTATTCAGACAAGAACAATCTCTATCAGACGTATTTTGAGATATTTAAAGATGGTATTTGCTTTTCGGTTGTTTCTTCCTGAGCTCAGATTTCATTGAATTTTACAAACCTTGATGACATCTTGGTTCATGATCAAAAGACAGTTTCCGGAGCCAGAGCAAAATTTTGATACTAATATTCTTTTTCTTCAATTTTTCGGTATTTAATGATAAATATACTTAATTTTGTGCATTCACTTTTACGTCCAGTCTAGCATAGATTTGATGACATCAATATAACTTCGTTTAACATTCATGGAATGTTAGGAATATAAGTGACATTGTCTTCCCAGCAAACACACGACGTACTCCCGACGTCGGTTAATGGTCGTCTGAACGTCATGTCTTGAGTTTACGTCGTACCAACGTTGTGGGAACGTAAAAACCCAACGTTGGATGCAGACGTACAGACAACGTTATAAAATTACGTCGAATTTACGTAAATTTAGTACCCTGTCAGGACGTAACATTTTATTACGTTGTGACAACGTGCTTATAACTGTCTTAATCCGACGTAATATTTTGTTACGTCGTATCAACATTATAATAACGTAGTGAACAAACCTTGTTAATACCAGTGACACATTTAAATCTGGTTTTATGGGACGAATTTTGTGGGTATGAGTCTTCCTTGGTATATCATTCACCTTCACTAGAATATATTCACGATTTTTTCGATTTTCAAAATATCCCCCTTTTTTCCCGCACAGACATAATTTGCACCAAAATGTCCAAGAAAATATTACAAATCCAATTTTAATGTTCTAATATATATATTTTATATGAATATTTATTGTTTAATATATCATTAAAGTTTTGTCATCATTTATTATTCTAATTCCATAATCGATTTTTTACGATTGGTTATAATAGTGGAACGTTCAGCAGTACTCGGGTTTTACTGCTGCATATTATGAAAAGTCTGAGCATGCGCACTTTCACCGCTTGATTTTTAAAAACAGTGATAAAACTTGCAGTGAAATTTAGCTCGATCCAGATTCCAGAACAAAGAAAAAGGTAATATAATAATTGCACATTACGCCAAATAGGTTCTCCATGATAAAAACAAGTACGATTGAAGAAAATAAAACATCTGTTGCCGTGTTGGGCGCCTCTTTGAAGTCTGTTGTCCGTGACCGTGTTGAAATATGATACTCCTTATACTGTCAATATATTGCACTGATACAAGACATTTTAGCCAAAATTTGTGTTATTTGAATCCATTTTTCAAATTGCTCGAATAACTTGTGTTTTTTTTTAAGATATATGCAATTAACTGTAGAAAGTTAAAAAAAAAAAAGGGGGTGGGTGCACAGGCACTTGTTTCCTATCCTGAGTATCCATGACAAGAGCTACTATCCCTATATATTAAAGCTGCAAGTGTCTTTTGCACTGTTATCTTTTTGATAATGTTGGAAGCATAAAAGTCTGATCAATATCACAAATGGGAAGCTAGACATCTGGGCACATTACAAACTCGGCCCATTACAAACTTGGCATATTACAAACTCGGCCTATTAATGATAATACTACATGTATCACTGGGGGTCATCCTGAACATGCATGAAATATATGCCACTGGACATTAAGCAACTAACAATCCATGTGTCACTGGGTCTGACATGGGAATAGACAATTGTGCCAATAAAGACTGTCGTAGATAGGCGTCACAGAAAAAAAAATAAAATAGCCTTCCAAGACGTCATAATTATTTGGGACTAGGTCGTCGTAGGAAGGCGTCACAGAAAAAAAATTAAAATAGCCTTCCAAGACGTCATAATTATTTAGACTATGATCCAGTCGGGGAAAAGTTGGGTAAAACCCAGTTTACTGGTGTTAAAAAAACTAGTATATAGGGACGTCTTTTTTGCTGTTCAATTTATGGTATAAAATCTACATGTTTATCAATGACGAGCTATAATCAACTCTCAATAAATGTGTGATCAGAAACAATGTCATAATCAATCATACAACTTATGAATTTTGGAATGCATGTTAATTTGTCACTTACCTAGTTCTCCCAAAGATTTGTTTGACTGACACGCATGTAAACAGACTGAAGAATATAGAAGATAATTGAATGTATTTATAATTTTTTTTCCAGAGTCTTATATAAAAATCCACAGATCCAATGTGTCTGAGGTTGAGGAATGCATTGCAGTAACACTTAAGCTTGCACCAGCTAGCTCAAAAAGATGGACCAAGTTATAAAAAGGTAAACATCAGTTGATCAGCTCTTTTTATGCCCTCCTTCACTGAGTGATATAGTTTTACTCTTGTACTGTATGTACATTATTTGAACTCAAATTGGTTTCTGTTCTCTAACTTTAGTTTGCCTGAACGACATGTTATGAAATTTAAACACAATGCTTATTATCATAAAATGCAGAGTTTGAATTTGGAGAGCATCTGTTTTACTGTTCTTTAGTTATGTCCTTTAATAACATCATTTGTGGCTCATGGACACATTCTTCTTTTATTAATTTTATTTATCAAATTATAATTTGTTGATTTTATAGATTGCGTTCATTGGCATATAATATAAGGTCTTGCTGTATTGATGTAAATTCTAAATTTATTAGTTTAAACATATTTTATTGTACAAAACAAATGGATTAGACACAACAAGTTTTTCAACTTAGTTCCGTCTTCTCCATTTAAATTCATTAAGGTAAAATCCTATGAATATCTTAAATTAATTGATAAATGACAATTTTGAGAAACCAAACTTCCTTTTTTAATTTGGATTCATTATTGTTTGTAGAATGGCTAGTGGTTGTTCCAGAAAAAACTAAGTCCCCCCCCCCTCCCCCCAAGGGAAGGCTCTTTTTTTAATTTTATGTGGGGATGGTTGTATTTATGCGGACATAGTATTTTCTGGAACAGCCATAATTTCATTAACACATGTTCAATTTAACAACAAATTTATTTTTTAAATAAGAACAAAGGTTAACTAAAAGTTATGAATTATTATATACTGTTGAAATTATGTTAAAATTTCTAACATACATTATCAAAATATGTATAATTGGCAAAGATACAAACATCTCAGTAACAGCACAACATAATTTTGAATTTGCAAGATTTATTATACGACCAGCAATAGAAAAAATATTGATTATGTTTACACACAGGATATTTTTTAAGAACTGCTGTAATTAATAAGTTGGGATCAACTTTTTTTTTTGTATTTTATAATTTATGATTATTTTTTTTCAGAGACCTGAAACCAACACAAGACCAGCTGATCAGAGGGCAGAAAACCAAAATTTGGAATGACATGTATACAACCAACAAAAGACTAAAATTTGGAATAAAAATAAAAAAAATTCAGAAACATATTATTTTTTTATTGGTTCATGTAGCTAAGAAAAAAGAAGTCTTAACTTTTGGATAGGTCTATCCCTAGTTGGTCAATGGAAAAAAAGCAATAGTTAGTTTGATTGAATTTTGGGTATTTTCTTCATTTGGGATATTTTTAGAAGTGTGTTTAAGTTGTGTAGAATATATATTTGTAAATTAGACAGTCAGCTTTTGGGTCTTTTTCCAAACTCATTTCCTAGCTTGTCATTGTGTAGTGAATCCAGCTGAATGAATCGATCTACAGTAAATATTAAGGTATATGTGGTAGTTTGTTGTATTTCTAAATAATTCATTAAAAAATGTTTTCCTTCGTCAAAGTGAAATCTACATTCTAGAATTTCCACCATCATAGTGAAATCTATATTCTAGAACACTGAAACTCTAAACATTCAGAAGTTGCAGCATGTACCAATATGTCATGTTGAAGGCTGTACAGTTACCTATAATTGCTAACATCATCAATATTTGATTTTAGGATAGAGGGTTGTCTCATTGGCCATCATACAAAACCTCCTTTTTCGAATAGTATTATGTGTTAAATTTTTTAAAGAAAAGTTGCTTTTGTTAAATAGAAATGTGTAAATCTTGTACTTCGGTATTGCAAAAGTTAAAAACTAAGCCTTTAACCTTTAACAACTGTGTGAAAAATGAATTGGACAAAACTACAGGTTTAATGTAAAACATGATGCAAAGTTTTTGGGAAAACGAGATATTTATATATTTGACATTGAAACCTGGCAAAAAGGTAAAAAAAAAAACCTTTTGCGACCATATTATACACAGCTTGCAGTTTGGAAATAGAGTACATATCGGCATTGTGTACATCTTTCCTACATAGACAAATTTACAACTTGAAACAGGTCAAAAGAATAAAATATAGACCCTGTTTACTTCTTCAATGGAATTATATTGCTCCTATCAATCAAATGAGGACAAAGGACATTTACAGTTGTGTTGCGACGTTGTTACAACGTCTTATGATGGTAATAAATTACGTCACAAATTACGTTGTGCCAACGTTGTGTGGATGGTTGTCAGCACGTGCCTTGGAGTCCACAAAATTACGTTGTACCAACGTAATTTTACTACGTGGTCACAACGATAGTATTACGTTGTCACAACGTAATGTCAACGTTGGATTGTTTACTGGGTTACTACTTTAAACACGATGGACCTTTAACATGTTTTACTTGATTTTAGATTGTAATAAATTCTTTTTGAAAATGAAAATGAAAATTGATTTGGAACAGAAAAGTAATATAACCGAAATGTGTTCGAAATAGTCGTCTTATCTGTAATTTTACCGATTGTGTTCTAATCCCGGATGGGACCTTTTTACTGGGGCTTGATTCGCATGTCAAATAAGAAGAAGCTTACCCTGTCTCGCTCTATTTTGTTCATTCGATTCACTCGGTTTTTGTTTGGCATGTTTGTTGTCTTGATTTGTCTTCGTGATCAATTTGTAGGATTTAAACTATTGTTGCCTTAAAAGGGCATTAGCCACGTTTTCAACAAAAAAATTGAAATATGATTTTTTTAAAACATTTTTAAAAGTGAAAAAAAGAAATAAAGGTATATTTTTCGCTAACAGCTAGCTGCCAGTTTAGTTCAATTTCGTCACAGTAAGCTATGTAAAATTCTCTGGTGCATCATTGACTTGCAAGTAAACATTCTACTCATTAGAATCTGTTTTCGTGAAACCTTTTAATTTGACCTTTTGAGGAGATGGGTATGTATGTGTTCATAATATGTCTAATTTATTAAAAAGAAAAGAATTTCAACATTGAAAAGCGAAACAACGGTAACACAAGGAAGACTATTTCCTTGACTGATCCGACCAACAAAAAATCATTCTTATAATATATTGGTAAAACGATGATTATCATATATTTTAACCTATAACATGGAATCAAACAGACCTAGAAAAACCAAATTGCCTGTACTCCGTATCTTTTTATATTAATATTTGTGTTAATCACGTGGTATATGACCATCGAGTTTTCAGAGGTTATCTCGATGGAATCCGAAATGCTGATACATTATAGCGATCCCATGCATTGCTATTTGTTTCTTTTTTATTTTATTATAATTTGGATTTTTTTTAGTATGTTATTAATAAAATCTGAGAATTTGATTCAAATCGACGAACATGAAATTTGAAGCTAATAACCCTTTAATTTATTAGAACAAGTTATATGATGATAAACTAAATACTTTCACTATTCTTTCTATTCTAACTTTTACCTTGATAGTTTACGGGACCTTTTCATGCATATTTTATTGTAGGGAGACAAAGGGTAAGATTAGAGCCTTTAACGACAATTATTAAATGAGTTTTTGAGCTAACAGAAGTTCTGTTCGAACAAATGTTTACCTACAATTTGAAAAAGAATCTTTAAAGTTTATAATTATTCCTCAATGAGTTCACCATGTCACGTTCAGTCAATGTTTTGATACCTTTTTGTTTTTAGGAAAAAGAATATATCGTTTACTGAATTTTGAAGTGTTAGGGCATTGAAACATTTTTCCTTTAATTGCTATAGGACATTCGTTATATTTATAAGTATAAGTTAGCAATATACAAAAAATTTGAATGTATATTACCTTACTCACTTAAAATGGTGCACCAGTTGTGAAGAGGGTTTATGTGAAGAATGCGAGAAAACTCACAAGAAAACCAAAACCAGTAGGGACCATGAAATTATCTCGATTGAAGATTATCGGAAGATAGAAGACGTTCCAATCCCCTTTACTTGTAATAATCATGACAAGAAACTAGAATGGTTTTGTAAATCTCATGACAAAGCACTTTGCGTGGTATGTTTGCCAACTGAACACAGATCTTGTTCCGATGTCATACCAATAGATGCTGCTGCTACAAATGCAAGACAATCCACGGCTGTATCCGACTAGCAGGAGGCCATTGAGGTAACATTGCGTAATATTACACTTTGCATCAACAATAGAAATACTACCGAAAAGGATATTGAAAAGCAAGAGAAAGAAATGAAGAGAATTATTCTAAATACGAGAACAAAAAATAAATGGTCACTTGGACGAGTTGGAAGAAAAATTATTGCAAACATTGGTATCAGCAACAAAATCATGCAAATCCAAATGTAATAACTTTCTACAACAATTTAATATACAAGAGGAAAAACTTATCAAACTAAAAGATCAAGTATTGCAGATGAAAGAGTTTTCATCTGACCTACAAGTATTTCTTGGAACGCGACAACTTGACAAATTGGTTATAAGTGATATCGAATCCTTCAAAACTACAACTGATTCTACAAACGATTATAAATTCAACCTGGTTCTAAATAGTGATATTCAGAAATTATCAAATTGTGTAGTCAAAGAGTTTGGAGAAATTCATGTCACTGAACATACCTCAAATTTAGACAATAAAGAGCTAAAAATAGAACACGCTCAAATGCAGCAAAAGGTACGACCCTCGAGTTATGTCGCTGACATAAGACTGCAATTAATAACAAAAGTTGATATCAAGAGAGAAGAATCGACGTTTATTACAGGTTGTGCTATATTGCCAAATGGACATTTATTGTTTGCGAATTACTATAGCACAAAACTTTTGGAGTACAGTGAAGAAGGTAACTATATCGGCAGTATTCAAGTTTCTGCTGAGCCGTATGATATAACAGTGCTAGATTCAGATCGCATTGCAATCACATACGGATATAATGAATTCTTTGAAATATTTAAGTATCGCAATAGTCGGGTTGAAAAGAACATAAAGACCGGAGGTGATTGCTGGGGATTGAGTCAGTCAGATGGTAAAATTTACGTCATAAGTGATAAAGTAGAGGTTTTTGACATTACTGGTAAGAAAATATGTACGTTGGCTGCAGAAGGCGACGAATATATTTCCGCCTCAAAAAACAACCTTTTCTTTTCAAACTTTGTAAATGGCACTGTATGTTGTTATGATATGAATGGACAAGAGGTATGGAAGTTTCACGATGATTCATTGGTGAATCCATTTGGCGTAGCAAATGATCGTAGCGGCAACGTTTTCGTTGTTGGGTATGTGTCTTACAACTTGATACTTATACAACATGACGGGAAAACATATAAAAACTTGCTTAATTTGGAAAAAGATGTCACTCCGCGTGCGGTATGCTATAGTACATTTACTGACAAAAACACTCTTGACTACTGATCTGCGACGAAGAAGGCAATCATTGTGCATTGTATAAAGTATTGTACAAGTAACTATTTCCAAACTAGAAATGGTCCAGCAATTAAGTTATCCAGTTTGAAATGATAACACAATTATAATTAGGCTTCTGATAAAATATTTATAACGAACAAACGAGTATAGTCAATCATGCCTGTTTACAATTTTCCTTACTTATTAACAGTATATAAAAAATAAGATGTAGTATAATTATCATGAGACAACAATCAACCCAAGTCCAAAAGACGTGAATATAAGCAACTAGTATATATTTGTCATAATTGTTTCTCGGAGATTGTATTGTCATAAATTAGGCCGTTTGTTTTCACAAATGAATTGCTTCATATTTTTCATATAGCCGACTCTCCGATATGGGTTTTTCATTGTTCAAGGTCGTACGGTTGCCTAGAATTGCCTACATCCACTTCATTTGAACTTTGGTGAATAGTTGTCTCATTGGCATTCATACCACATCTTCATCATATTTTTACACAGTATAATGATTCATTTCCATTTTCATTTATATAAGGGTTTTTAATCACAGATATATAACTTTTATAAAATTAAGGAGATGTGGCATGATTGACAATGAGACAACTATCCACCAGAGTTCAAATGAAGTTGATGTAAGCAATTAAAGGCAACCGTAAGGCCTTCAACAATGAGAAAACCCATACCGAATAGTCGGCTATAAAAGGCCCAGACATGAAAAATATGAAGCAATTCAATTGAGAAAACTAACGGCATAAATTATAACAAACCAATTTACGAAAAACAA